CAGGGGTTCCCTTTTTGTCCCATATTTCACATCCCCACAGGCTTCTCTCATAGCCACCAGCTCCTTGAGACTCTCCAGGCATCTCACTGCAGAAAGAGCCTCCAAGCCTTCAGATGGCACCCCCAGAGCTGCAAGCACAGGTCAGGAGACCCTACTGGTTGCAACATTACTGCATCATCTGCTCTTCCAGGGGCTGGTTTCATCCCAAACAAAGCTGATGTCCTTCTGGAGGCAGAGAGATGTCAACAGTCCCTGGCAGTCAGAGCAGATTCTTTGGGAGTGAGCCAGAGGCTCTGACACCTCGTGTTTGGAGCTCAGCCACACTCAGCACACAAACCCCACAGACTCTGTGCTGGCTGGGCTCTGACAGCCCTGTCACCAACACCGTGTACTGAGAGGGGCAGGTGGGGACAGCTCCTTGGGGATTTTCCCCCATGGAAAATGGGGAGCCAGGAAATGGAGCAGTCAAGGACCAGGAGAGGACATGGACATCCTGATCTCAGGCATCTGCCTTGGGCCCACCGGGTACAGGTCCCATGGGCACAGCGCTGAGTGAGGGAGTTGTGATCCTTCTCCTGCTGCACCCAAAATTAGGGTCTGGCAGGGCAGCTGGATACATCAGCCAGCTGGCTGGAAGCAGAAGTTGCTCAGGACAGACAGCAATCCTGTTTGGTGGGGCTGGTTGGGTCAGGGTGGGGTGCTGGGGACATGTCCTTGGGGCAGAAGGAGGCTTTGGGCTGCTGAGGAGAGTCCCAAGCCCCCTCACACTGATGTCTCCTGAAACAGGTCTCAGACCCGGATGGAGGATGCTCTGCAGCAGAGGGGACTGTCAGGATGATGCTCAGCCAGCAGAGCCCAATATCTCCCCAAATCCACAGCCAATCTGTGCCTCAGTTTCCACACTAGTGGGAGTCTCAGCAACAGATTTCACCAGCCTAAAACAAGTTTCCCATGGARAATTTTTCCTTGACAGAGAGGAGAGCAGGGCCAGGGAGCTCAGGCATGGTGCTTGCAGGGGCTCTCCTGGTGTTGTGATGGGAGCAGGGACTGCAGCTCTTYCCAAACAACCCTGGACAGTCCTTGGGGCACAATCCCAGGGTGATGGCACCAGCTGGGAGCATGGACTCCAGTGTGGGTGAGCACATGGACTCCTGGTTGTGGGATTAACCCAGCCCTGCTTGGTGCAGGTGCCAGTTCCAGCAGGCTGTGTGATCACACACCTCTGCTGCCTTCAGCACAGCCTGGGGGCTCCTCGAGGATCCTTTTCTCCATGGCTGAGCACWTGAGGGCTCCCATGGAACCGTTTGTGTCTCTGATTTTCAGTTTTCCTCCAAATTGGAAAAATATGTCCTTTGAAATTTTCATGAGGGTAGCAGAGCTGTCTGTCTCCCACTGCTGCATGTGACTGAGAGCCATTTAACTGTGACCGCTGACTGTGGTGACAAATGTCAGCACGAGGCTCGTGCTTAAGGGATGAAATATTTATTTGGGAATTTGGCAGTGCTGGAAGGACAACACAAGAGGCATCTTGGGGTGGACAGTGCTGACAGCCACAACTGAACCCACTGGGCTGTCAAACTGACRTGAGATTTCCTCTCCCTCCTCATCTCCCACTCTTTCCAGAGTCTTTACCTGCCTGGCAATGGCCCAGAGCTGTGGACCACCAGTCAGATATGTGGTGTCTGAGGAAAGGGAGTGATGGTCCCACTTCGATTAAATGCCAGCCACAAACTTTCTGACTGACGTGCCATGGAACTGGGAGGTCCTGGCTCTGGCAGTGGGGATGTTTGCACAAGGCAGCCAAGGTRGAAGGTGGGATGAAGGCACAGATCCTCCACAGGGAATCAGGATCATCAGCTYTCCTCTGCCTCCATTCAGGCTCTGGAGGGCAGGTTATCTCCCTTGCTGGGCTTTGGTTTGCTGGGGATGTATCTCAGGGCACCCGGGTGGTGGGGCTGAGGGTGGGGAGGGACTCCAGGGCTGGAGACAATCTCCATGGTGGGTTKAAAATGTCAGTCAAATAAAGAAACTAAATTAAAATCCACCTTTGTGTGCTGGAGAGGCTCCTGTGCCTCATCCCATGGGGATATCCCATAGCACCACGAGATCCCATCCTCAGGGTCCCACTTTGCTTTTCCCAGCCCCGAGARGTACCAGGATAACATAAAGGGTTAACACAGGATGATCTCAAGAGGCTTCAGCCTCGTCAAGAACACCAGATTGGCAGGTCATTAATCTCAGAGTTCCTTGATAACTTTAAATACAATCATAGAATCAGCAGGAACCTGTAATTATTATTTATGTGCATGGTGCTTACTAAATTACAGCACTCTCCAAGGCTCTGTGTGATGAACAAATTAATTCTGCATTGGAAGAGCTTGACCAGAAATCTGTTTGTRTCTGAATTTCACTTGTAAACATTGATGTATGAAATGAAATTTGAGTTTAATTGGCTCTCCCTCCTGCTGTGAAACACATTACATTTTTATTCTGTATTAGCTCAGCCAGCAAGGAGGAAATCTTGGAGTACTCTTCTCCAGCCATGATAACACTTGTGGGATTGTCTTGGATGAGATGGTGTTGATGCCTTCATGGAGAGCCACCTCCATGCTCTGGGCATGTGGATTTGGGGTAGAAAGGAGCCAAAAAAGCCTCTGGACCAGAGGGATGCTGATCCCACTACAGTGTGAGGATGCTCCCATGGAAACTGGTGAGGGTCCATGCCAGGTTTGTCTTTTCCAAAAGATAARCATGGCCCAAAAGTCCTTGTGAAAGGAATTGAAGTAATTTTAATCAAACAAGATTGAGAATACACACACTTCTCCAGCTACAGAAAGCAAAGTCACATCCAAAGATCACCAAGAGGAGAAGGGAAAAACAGATGTGAACACAGATGTTTCTGTTTGGGTTTCTTTCTTTGGTTTTTCAATTTCCAGCTTCTTTCCACCAAAAGACCCCGCTTTAGAAAAATCCAAATTGAGCATGTAGCACATMATATTTTGGCAATATCACTTGCAGGGATGACAAAAAGAAATTCCTTGAGGCATTTTCCCTTCTCCCTTGCCAGCAGATCTTTCTTAACTCCTGCCAAAATACCCRACAGAGAAACCAAGACACAGGAGAAGACACAGATCTACTCCTTGCAGGGCACCAGCTGAAAGTGTCCAYAGAGCTGGGAGCTGCCACTTTTCCTATTACAAAACTCCAGTGTTCTTTTTCACTCCTGGATTTTGGAGAAGGGGCAGTTCCTGGGACTACTGGCAGTGGCTGAACTTGAACAAAAACTGAAACATGCCCCATGAGCAGGGTATGGTTCTCGTTGTGGTCACTGGGGCATATTGGGAGCTGTCGCTGTTCCCAGCAGGTTCTCGAAGTCAATGGGAGGTTCTGGTTTGGCTTCACTGTGGACACGCAGGTAGACAATCAAAATGAAAGGGAAGGGGGAGGGGGGAATTTGCCCCAAACTACTGAATTTCACAAACATTTAAAGAAAGAAAAAACACAAAGGTTTTTCCCTATGCCTCCCTTTAAATTTAAAAAAAAAAAAAAAAAAAAGGAAGATTTTATTCCTTTTTAGTGGTATATCCTGAGGAAATCACAGAGTACTGCAATTTCAAAGATGCTTGAATCTCCCCAGGGCAGGAAACACTTATGCTTGTTCTTTTTGGTGGGGAAACTGAGGCACAGAAGTGTGATGGGGCTCACACCAGACCCTGTACAGCCCCAGTGGCAAAATCCCTGGGATGCAGAGGGCAGACAGCCCATAAACCTGCTGTGATCCATCCMTTGCCTGGGCATCCCCAGACCTCGTAGGGGGCGAGGAAAAGGTGGCTCCAAGGAGGTCAARGCAAACCCCTCCACTGCATGGACCTCTCTGCTCAGCTGCTTTCAGTGACCACATGGAAGAGGGCAACGGGAGAGGGACACCTGGGGACAATCTAGAGTCCCCAGCACGGGGAGGGAGAGAGGAAGAGAGGAAAGGGAGGGAAGGAGGCTGCTGCTCCTCCAAGGCACTTAACCCCAGTGTGGGSATGGTTTGATCCCATCCCCTGCACGAGAGCAAGGAGAAGCTTTGGCACTGAGCCCACCTGTCCAGGTAAGAGCTGGGCAGGCAGGAGGGGCTGAGCCAGGGCCTGTCCCTGCCGTAGCTGCCTTTGGGGACCTCAGCCATTGCTCCTCTGCAGGGCCCCCTCACCTTCCCACCCTCAGAGCAGGGACACGGAGTCATCCGGAGCTCCAGGGCTTTGCAGGGACTTGTGAATGCATCTGGGCTGGACCAGAAGATTTCACTAATTTCTGTGCTCCCCTCCTGATCAAGCACAGTCTGAGTGGCCGTTCAGGGCCCCCACAAGCTATCCCCAGCCTCTGCAGGGTTCCCTTCCCACTCCCACCYCACTGCTCTAAACCTTGGTGTCAAGATGAGGAATGACCTGATCAGACCAAGCAGTTATAGGACATCTGGAGACCCAGCAAAGAGCAGGGGAAGGACTCAAACCCAGCGGTATAAAAACCCAGCCACATGAAGCAATGTCTACAATCACTGCAGGGCTCTCCATCCATCCATCCCTGTCCAACACAAGTGACTCTGGCTCCTCTAGAGGGTTCCCCCTGCCAGCAGCATTCCAGCATGTGCTCCCTGGAAGGCTGACCAGCTTCCCAAGGGATTAGCCCCAGAAGCTGTCCAAGCAATGTCCTGGTGTCCTGTCACCTCAAAGCAGACAAACCCAGTCAAGGCAGTGACATTGGACATCAAGCCCAGGATGAAGCAGGCAGAAGGCTGCTGCAACCTCTCCAGTCTCCTCCAGCTCCTTCTGCCACGACAGCAGGTCACATCAGGGAGATGACCAAGCTGTCCTGTCCTGCAGGCCTGCCTAGCACGGGGGCAGGAGCTGTGCAGGTGCCCAAGGCTGAGTGAATTGGTGCCATCCCTGTGGGGCTGGGGCCACTGGCAATCCCTGGCCCTGTGCCCCCTTCCCCTTGGGGGAATGTCAGCTCCCGGAGCGGCCGCTGGGTCCCAGCTCAGACAGCTGTGGATTGCTTGATGCTGTGGAAGCTGACRCGGGTTGGGGAGGTGGGGATGGACATGGCCCTGGCCACGCGGGCACGGATGGAGTGCTTGTCCTGCCACCGGTGCCACCGCTTCCGGACCGCCGATCGCACCTGTGCCAGAGGGATCAGGGACATTTATTTGTCACGCAGAGACWGCTCAGAGGCACCAGCCATCCTTCTCCTCAGCCTTCCAGCCAAAAATGCATTAATAATATGTGATTCGGTAACAAAACAGGTTCATCATCTGGGGTAAACTTTCCTCAGCCAGCAAAGGTGTGGGAGTGTTTGGAGGAGGCAGAGGAGAGAGCTGCCCAAATAATTAGCCCCAGGATTCGCTTCTGCTCTCAGCTCCTTTGCTTTCTGCTGTTTGTGTTATGGGTGAGAGCCTGGAAGATGTCCTCATTCAAGTGCAATCCACATGTGTATGGGGTTCACCCTGGGCAAGGATTTCCCTGGGATGGGGAGGACTCTTGGCTCTGCTGCACCAAATCACACAGGTGCATCCTGAGAACATCTGTTCTTGGGGGTGGATTTTCCTCCTCCAAAGGAGGAGACAGACAGCAGCCATCTGGGCAAAATCTGGGACTGCAGATGTATCTGGGGCTGGAGGTGAAGCAGCAGCTCTGATCACCAAAGACCTTCAGATGGGGAATTAGGGACCAGCACCCTGCAAGCTCTGTGCAGTGGTAGAGCATCGGGTTGAACTTGTGTCTGCTTGTAAGGAAGAGTGTAGACCTCCCCAGAAAACCCCAGCCCCCTGTGCTCACCTCGCTGTTGAGGAAGCAGTAGAAGACAGAGACGAAGAAGCCCTGGAAGGAGAGAAGCAGCAGAGTCAGGGCCAGCAGGGACCCCCTGGCCAGGAGCTTTGGAGYAGCATCCAAAGGTTTGGGGACATCTGCTCTTGGGAGGGGGTGGAAGTGGGACAAGACATCAGCCAGGATGGACTCCTCCACATCCCTTGGTGAGGGGAATGGGCYAGAAGCCAGTGCTGAGGGCCATTACCTGGAAGGACTCCAGAAAGGAGTTGAAGTAGATGAAGACTATCCTGGAGATTTCATCCTCTCCCGGGTTGACAAAGAACAGCATGTAGGTGATCCCCAGCAAGGGCAGCAGCACCAGCGTGGCCTTGACTGCTTTCCTGGGGAGAAAACAGAGACCTAAGCTGCTATAGTGCAGCCCTGGGTACAAGGACTCTGCCAACCCCACTGCCAGCACTGGCACAGCTTGGACGGGTCTGCTGGGACTTGAAAACCCAAGGGTGACAGGGGGAGAATGGAGCCAAGCTGGGCTGTTTTCCAGGGCAATCCCCAAGGAGCTGGGCTTGTTTGAACACTGCTGGGCCCCTGCTCTGCTTCTCCATCCAGAAAAAAGCAGTGCAGAGAAGAGGCCTGACCTTGAGCTGGCGTGGAATGATTGCTTGGCTGATCTACAGCTCGACTAAAAAGGAATTAAGGAGTGTATAATAATTCACACCCTTCAATATGGGTTTATGAAAATCTTATCTCAGGTAATTAATTTGATATCTTGATGAGATTACAAATGCCATTTGTGAAAAGYCATAGTGCTAGTACAGAGAGTGCAAGAAAGACTGGAGCTTCTCTCATTCCTTTGGATCAGCAGATGAGAACAATGCCAAATCATCACTTTTTGCTTAAAGATGCTGTTAATGGACAGATTCCAACAGTAGATGAACACAGGGAAGGTCATCCCTGGAGGGTCTGAGCTGGGCAGGGAGCAGGTCTGGGACCTGTTTTGCACCTCTGACCTGGAGGAGAGAACAGTCCCTGACACAAATGGGCTGATGACATGGAGGAGAGTGAGGGAACCRAGGACAGGGGCTGGAAAATGACAGTACAGCACATTCACTGGTRTAGCTTGTCCAGGGGAGCAGCCATGGCAGCACAGGACACATCCACTTTTCCCCATCTAAGGTGAGCAGAAGCCCTCCAAGGCTGCCCCTTGCCTGCTTTAAGCAGGACTGCACAGTTTATAACTTACCAAGTTTTCCAAGTTTTCCTGTCCCACAGGATATTCCTGGGAAATGAAAATATTCTCCTACCCAAATGTGATAACCCCTCCTAAAATCAGGTAAATACTGAAAAACCAAACAACTCTCAAAATTGCTGACTGGGGCCAACCAGTCTTTCCCCAGAACCTTTATCTTTGCGTACCCCAAGCTGAACCCCTCACTCCAGTTCAATACTCTGAGATAAGGAAAACTGGCATTTCCTATTAAAAGAACCAGAATTTTTCCATTCTCAGCTGAAAAAGCCACCCTCCACCTCAAAACAGCTTCTCTTGACCTGGCACACAGCAAGATTCCCCAATTCCTGCCCACAAAAWGTGATCCAGACAGAAGCAGTGATGAAGCCCAAAGTGTCTTCTATTCCACATACTTTGGGGAGCTGCTCTGACCATGCACCTCTTATGCTGTCTGCAAAATATTCCCCAGCAGGCAAGAAAGGGTTAAATCTTCCTGTCTGGTGTTGTGGGAGCGCTGTCCTCTTCTTCACACAGAGGTGTTGGGGTGGCATTGATTCATCGCTCCTTCCTCAGCCTTTGCTGTGCTGTCAAGCAGTGATTTAATTCTCACCTCCATACCAGGATTTGCAGCTCCCAGCCTGGAGAGCTCATTAGGTCCCACCAAAACAGGCTTTTGCAAAGAGACTCAAATCCCAAGGGTTCACTCCAAAGGCGGAAACAGCCATCCACACTCTACAACACAAGGCACTCGCTGCCTGGAGAACAACCCCAGATTTACCGTGTCTCTGTCCTATGTTAGCTGAGTATTGTATTCCTATCATCTGCTTATGTTAGAGGAAAGTTAAACAACCCTTCTGTAACCATACATTAGTTGAGACTGCTCTGGTTTGTTTGGTGATGTTCCTCCCTTCAAGGACAATGGGAGGGAAAGGKWCAAGACACACACGGTTTTTTTTTTTTCCCTTCTGGGGAGGCTCGGGATCAGCGGTGGAAAAGAAGCTGCCTGCTCTCTATGAGACTGCTTTTTTTCTCCCTTTCTTTGGACTTGTTTTTCCTCGATTTTTTTTCATCATCTGAGAATTGGAGGATTTTTTCCCGTGGCACGACAGGCGAGAAAGATCCTTCAGTGAACCACCGGAGAGAGATTCTGTCCAACCCCTCTGGGGGCCCCGGAGGGGAAGCCACTCCCAGGAGGGAAGAGAAAGGCTTTGGGATCTAACAGCTGATTCCACAGGTTTTTCTTTCTGTTTTTATAATTTTAAATAAATAGTTTTTTTCCCCTTTTCTTTTCACTTTCCTCTCTGTGGAAAAGTTTGTCTCTGGGACCCGGTTGGGGAAAGGAGGCGGGGGGGAGGTTTGCTGGAACTTGGGAGTGTTTTGCTCCCATTTGAGTTCGTTCAAACCAGAACATTTTCCAAAGAGCATTTGAGGTGCTCTCAGGGGTCTCTCCAAGCTCCCAGCCCCTTGTTACCTGGCTAATGGGGSTGTTCCCACCCACACTGATCAAGGGGGAGCCCAGTTCCTAGGGTGGCTTCCTGCAGGGCTGCTCATGCTCTTACCTGTACTGGATTGTCTCCGACGTGGTTGAAGCTCGGAGCTTTGTCATGAGAATTCGGACAATGTTGAATAAAAAGATGAAGTTGATCTGCGAGGAACAGGGTCACTGGTTAGTGTCWGCTCCCCCAGCATTTCCTCCCATATCCTCAGCAATGGGGGGGGGGGGGAAATGGGGGAACCAGAGGAAATGGGAATGTTTCCTCTTGAACCTGATCTACTGCCTTCCATGCACCATGAGAGGACRTCTGCCTTGATTGTTTTTAAAACACTCGAAAATAAGATTTAGGAGTTTGGTCAAGGGATGAGGGCAGCAGGGCATGCCAGGAGATTGCCAAGGAAGGACAAGTGCTAGAGAAMGGGCTGGAGGTGAAAAAGTTGGAGAGAGAGGAAGAATCTAAGGTGGAGAGAGCTGCCATCATGTCCAGGATCTGCCTGGCTGCTCTCCTGGCTGCTGAATCACTAATGGGAATGGGAAGGCGTCCCTGGAGCTGAGCACAATTGACAGGAACTAGCAGTGGCCTGGCTGCCTGACAGTCTGGGAAGTGGGAAGCAGGATCAATTATTCCATCATGCTGGTGATTTTYACTCCCTTGAGTTTTCTCAGTGTTAGGCAAGGAGGAAAGAACAGTTTTGGCGTTTTTGTGAGTGGCTTTCCCCCTCCAAACACAGGTTGGATTCCCAGCTTGTGACCTGCCACCTCTGCTCTTCTTTGTCCCTCCCCAAAGGACAAAGCCCCATCAAACTGTGCAACCCTTGGCTGGAACACTGCTGCTCTGCCAGGAGCCAGGAACAGAGAGGTGGAATCAGGATCAGGGAATCGAGTCAAGGATCCCAGGCTTCTTCAAATGCTTGGSAAAGCATCCACCCACACCGTGCCAGGGCAGGGATGGAGGGACCTACTGATGCATGTGGGAGTCKGCTGATGGGACATTCCTGTCAGAGTGAGGTCTCCAGGCTCCTTCTGCAGCCCATCCCAAGCCCAAAATTGCTCAAGGGGCAGTTTGGGTGAGAGGTAGTGCTGCTGTGGAGCAGCAGAACCACCCCCAGCAGAAGGAAGATAAAGGAGGGGGTGAGACCCTGTACAGGAGCGGCTGTGTCCCACCTGCACACAGAAGGACTCTGAATTTGTCACACAAGGTCACTTCGCTCTTACCAGAAGCACCAGGATCATGGGGCCTTGGTAAATGTAGTCAGTATAAACTCCTGCTCGCTTCCCAAACCAGCACCTGCAAGGCAAGGACGAGCGGTGTCGGGGACAAGCGGTGGCAGGGACAGGAGGTGTCAGGGACCAGCCTGCCATGGGACTGACCTGGACTGACTGCTGTCCTTGCACAGTCTCTGTAAATCACTGTCTGTGCGGTGAAAGCACTAAAACTCAAACTGCTACAGCCACTGTGGAATAGYTTCCCTGGGAACTCAGTAAAAGGAGGTGCATGGGGGTTGTGGGGCTGCTTATGGRGGCCAGATGGACGTGAGAACTGCTYATTGCAGGACRATACTGGGGAGGRGACAGCCTGCTCACAAAGGAGRGGTGACTGTCCYGCTCTGCTCTGCAAGGGGACAGCTTTGGGCACCACAATATCAGAAAGATCTAAAGCCATTAGAGAGCATCCAGAGGAGGGACATGRGSATGSWGRSRKG